CAAGACAATGCCTCTTTCATCTTTCCACGTGTCCCCAAATGCTCCAACACATAACTTTCAAACTTCGAAAGTCCCGCTTCCATTTGAATTTCAAATGCTTTGGTGCTTCTCCGTTTCGAACGCTCTTCCCAGACACAGCCTTGTTGTTATTTCGAGACTTCTTTAGATATGTTTCCATAATTGCCACTCGAAGCTCCAAGCTTTGACACACTTATTCGAAACACTGCTTCCGCTACTTCGAAACATGACGCTTTACCTCATTTCGATCAAAACGTTTAATTCATTTGACTACTAATAACATTATCAAAATCTTCAGCCAACACACTGAAGGGCCTTTTTAAAACAATGCATGCTATTACCAATCAATACACCACAATTATTGAGTTTAAAAATAAATAAATAAACAAAAATTTTGAAAATTTAAAAGGCATAGACAATTCCATGAAGGAATAAAATAAAAATAAAGAGTTAAAAAACCTTTTTATTGATTGCTAGTTTGGTGGTGAGTTATTGAATTCGAACACCTTTCCCATATCTGTATTAAATTTTCCCATAAGTTTCAACGCACGTTGATACTGCCACTTTCTCCACCAGAGAAAAATAGAATACCAAAAAGAAAGAAAAAAAACCGAATCCCTGTCATAATCATAATCCCATTCACCCAACTTCAATTATTTTTTCTCGATCTGGATCTCCCTCCGTCACACCAAACCGCACTTTCTCGAATATTCTCTCTCTCTCTCTCTCTCTCTCTCTCTCTCTCTCTCTCTCTCTCTCTCTCTCTCTCTCTCTCTCTCTCTCTCTCTCTCTCTCTCTCTCTCTCTCTCTGCTTCCATCACTCCGCCATGAGCTCCGGTGACCTCCTCAGCGTCGAACCTCTCGAACTCAAGTTCCCCTGTTAGTTTCTCTCTCCTCCGATCTCTCTCTCTCTCTCTCTCTCTCTCTAGGGTTTCGAATTTGAACCTCTCATTTCGATTTTGATTTTGATTTTTGTTGTAGTTGAGCTCAAGAAGCAGATCTCGTGTTCTCTTCAATTGTCTAATAAGACTGATAGCTATGTAGCTTTCAAGGTATCACTGATTTCGCTTCAATTGTAGGTTTTAGTTTTAGTTCTCCTGTAAGATCTATTGCTTTCATTGTAGAAAAATAAGTGTTGTTAAGTTAATTGATTTCAACTGTAGTTTTTTTTTGTATTTTGATTTTGTTTAGGTGAAAACAACGAATCCGAAGAAGTATTGTGTTCGTCCTAACACCGGAATTGTCTTGCCAAGATCTACCTGTGATGTTATGGGTACTGATATGATTATTCGGTTTTTTTCACTTATGTTTTATTGTCGATCCATGCATATGTTATGTTTTTTTCTTTGATTTTGTGTAGTTACCATGCAAGCGCAAAAAGAAGCTCCAGCTGATATGCAATGCAAGGATAAGTTTCTTCTTCAGAGTGTAAAAACCAACGATGGTGTTAGTGCGAAAGATATTTCTGCAGAAATGGTATGATTAACATGCTAGTTGCTGTTGCCTTTTTGTTTAATTTCTGTTTACGATTATGATGTGTGAAGTTACAAGATTTGTGCCATCGGGATTGCTTAGTTCAACAAGGAGGCAGGGCATGTGGTCGATGAGAGCAAATTGAGAGTGGTGTATGTGTCTCCGCCTCAACCGCCATCTCCTGTACCAGAAGGTTCTGAGGAAGGTTCGTCGCCTAGAGGTTCTGTTTCAGAAAATGGAAATGCCAATGGTCCTGACTTCGCTCAAGTGGGTTCTTAAGTTATTTTGTTTTAAATGAACCTACCTTTTTCCATCCAAGGATATCAATTGAGATGGCTTTTCTTTTTGGGATATTTCAGGTAACACGGGGATTTGCTGAACGACCTGAGGCTCAAGACAAATCTGCAGAGGTATAGTAAAACAACATCTGTTTTATGTATTTGTTGTTTACTGTATTGCTCGTTGATTTGTAGTTACTAGCTGTATTTATCGACTTCTGTATATTGTGACAATAGAATATACAAATGAATTTTGTAGGACCCTATCACATCCATACATCACCTGTATGCAACAAATCTGCCACTAAACCATAATGTCATACTCTCTCTCTTTTATTTAAATCTTTTTGAAGTAGCTCGCTACTTATTTCACTAACAATTAATCAAACCCCCTATTCCTCAGATATATGGAAATATGTACAAGTACAACAGCCTAAGCTATCAGGTTGATAAGAACTGAATAGAAAAAGGCAATTGTATTGATATGTCATTGAAGAACCGTAATCATAGGTACCCTATATGTACCTGTGGGGGGAAGAGTTTGTTATGGGGTGAGAAAGAATGTTGAGTTTGTTATATAGAGTGGAGGGTAGAGTCATGTGGTATCTTGGAGAATCAATAACTTGGTTATGGGCAGCGATAATTTTGTTCTCTTAAAAGAGCTTAGCTCTAAGCAGTAGCAATACTCATTCCTCTATAATTTCTTCAATTATCTAATATTACACACTTCTTGTTCATCACTGAGTTTTCTTTCTTCCATTTATGTGTACTGTTATTTCTGGGTTCCTATAATGTATGACCTGATTTCAGTATCAGTGGGTGTAACTGAACTAGACTAGGATAGAAGTTACGACGAACAGTACAACCCTGATCACATTCGATGACTTCTCTCTCGCCAGTCATCTTCATTTAATTCTCCCCCTATTATATCACCGCTAATTATATACAGTACAACCCTTAGTATTTCCTTAGTATATGAGAAACACGTACTCCTTTTAATTCTCTTCCCCTCCAATTACCATAGCTAACTGTGTGAACGGCACAACCAGTAGTATTCCAGAAACCAGTACTCTCCCACAACAATAACTACACTGAATGCCTTCTCTACTCCCTCTCATCTCATTTAATTCTCTTCCCTGCTAACTATCACAACTAACTGTTGATTAACTGTTCTGTTACACTTTATAACTACCTTACTTTTAACTTTCTGTAAGGCATGGGGTCCTTTGTTCCTTCTGATATTTTGATATGTTTGGTTCAAACAAAGGGGAGACGAATGATTCAATGACATACCCTTATAGCATTTTGCAATAGTTAATGTAAGGATCTTTTAGCCAATGGCTCTGGGATTTTATAAACACATTCTCTCTATTCAGATGATAGTAGTAAATCGTTTCTAGAGATTTCTTGCTGTCAAAAACTCATTGTTATTAACTCAGTAAATTGTTTACAGTTTTTGAATTGTCCCTTTTCTTTTCTCCCATTTGAATCTATTCGGAATTTTTTATTGTTTTTGAACTCTCCAAGCAAATCGCAGTTTATGACGGAGTATAAATGATACTCTTGTCAACTTAGATTACTTGTTGTGCAAAGTGCTATAGTGGATATTTAGTAACTAAATTCATATAGCTTTAGAATGTATACAGGTTTCTTGTGCTTACAGTTGCTGCCTGTATTCTAGTATTGTATGATTGTATGTACCATAGCACGAGAAAAAGCACAGTTGTCCAACTTCCAAATATGAGTGTTATAATTTTATTTTCAATCTACAAAAGTTTTGTGAGATAACCTCTAGATGATGCTTTTTGCTCCCAACTCTAAAACGTGCTTTCTTCAAGTTGGTATAATTTTTTTCCATACTTGTGTCTAGTGATATTCCTAATCATGTTTTTAGTTCCTATAAAGATGCTTTTTAAAATTATTCTATTAAAATAGGGTCCATACTTGGGTCTAGTGATTTTCCTAAGCATGGTTTTAGTTCCTATAAAGATGCCTTTTGAAATTATTCTTTATTTGGCCTTATATTATTTGTAATCTTTACATTCTATTAAAATAGGGTGGACTCAGTTACTAAAATTCAATTTGGGGACTATTTTAAAAAAAAACTTACATTTTATGTTTTCTTTTGCGATAAAGCTGATGGATAGTTTCATGGATTAAATATCCACAAGGGTTGTTTACTTGATTTATGATTTTTATCGATAATGGATTAGCAGGAAAAATGAAATGGAAATCAAAAGGAAAATAATTGTAGTTATCTGTTGTCTTTTTGGTTCACATGCTGTAATTTTTACTGTGCCTGTAATTTAGAGTTAGTAGAGTATGGCAACTGTGTTCTGATTACATTTGCTTTATTGCAGGCAAGAGCTCTTATCTCAAGGCTGACTGAAGAAAAGAATACTGCAATTCAACAAGTTAGCAAGCTCCGCCAGGAACTGGTTAGGATTCACATATATACTTTTGTTGTTTCATTGCTTTATGTTGAGACTAGTTCTGCTACTGCCATCAACCAGTTCTTTCAAATTAGTTATGGACTTGAAACACTTATTGAACAAATAAGTTTATTACTTGTAGGAGCTGCTGAAACGTGAAGGCAATAAAAATCGTGGTGGAGTGTCATTTATCGTTGTCATATTAATCGGCTTACTTGGCATAATCATGGGGTATCTCATGAAGAAGACCTAAGGATTTGTGTGATTTGGTTTCACCATAGATTTTTACTTTGTTCGTGACTATTGTGATGAAAGTTAAATTAGATCAATTAATCAGGTGTTGGTTTTTCTTTTTTATTATTCCTTGTATTTTTGGGTGGATAACATTTGAAAGTAGGAAACTTTAGGGGAAGTTGTGGGTCTTTTGTTACTCTTAATGTGAACTGACTCATGCTTTGGGTGACATGCATTCTTTTTGTAACTTAAGAGATAAAAATTTCTTTTGTGGTTCATCTTGTGACTATCTGGTAATATAAGCTGTCTATACAACCACAAGTAACATAAGTCTTCAGGGCTCTCTATCTGGCTGTTCCATTCTGTAACTTTTGTCTTTGATTGCGGCTAGTATTGATTCCTTTCATCTTTGTATGTGTAGCTCCTGTGCTGTGCCCGTTCTCATATTCTAGTTTGGCAGCCTCTTTTGATTCCATGCAGATAGTTTAGTCTTGCATATTGCAATATGCTCTACTAACAAAGAACAAACTGAACCTTATAATTTGAATCTCGTAGCTGCTAGGATCTACTTTCTGTTACATTTACGTTTGCCTAATTGAGTTAAACAGGCAAACAATGACTTGGGTTGATCGGTTGCACTCTTCAGGGTCCTGTTTCTAAAGGGTTTAACCTGGAAGTCGCAACGCACCATGAAATCTCCCTTAACAGTTACTTCATGCTTGCGCACATCTATTGTGTACTCTGTCAACCCTGCATTTTAAATTGAGACATGAAGTTAATTTACCAAAAATTAAACTGGCTTAGAAGAAGAAAGTGCTAACCTCTTTATCGTATGGTGGTTTAATTATTGAAAAATAAGTTTAATAGGAGGTTTGATCCCTTATTATCAGAGATTCAGAACCATACTAATTTATTCAATCAAACTAGTTTTTTAATGTTTCAACACTGTTTTAAAAACCAAACCGGCAGGTTGAATCGGTGTACTAGAGGAGTTATCGGTTTGGTCTGTTGGATCAGATATGCTATTGAACTGGGCAAAATTGGTTGAACCATTGATTTTTGAAAATCGGCAGTTCAAATGTGTACTTTTTTCTCTCGGACAAAACAACGTGGTTATTATATATATATATATATATATATATATATATATATATATATATATATATATATATATATATATATATATATATATATATATATATATATATAATAATATATATATATATATATATATATATAATATATATATATATATATATATAATATATATATATATATATATATATATATATATATATATATATATATATATATATATATATATATATATATATATATATATATATATATATATATATATATATATATATATATATAGATATAGAACAATTTTTCCTTGTTTATAATTAGACTTGGTTCAAAATTTATTTAAATTTGTATTTTGTATTATTTTGTTGTGAGTGATGATTATATTTAGAATTTGAATTTAAAGAATGAACATGTGAAACTATGAAATTTTGAAATTTTGTAATTGTTATGATATTTTTTAGAGGCTGAGTCAATCGTTTCGATCAATTTAATAAATATATAGTTTTGATATAAAGTGATTTATTCAACCGAGTTATCTGGTTTAGTCATGCAATTCGACCGGTGACTCTGTGGTTCGATCAATGAATTCGACCGGTGACTCTGCGGTTTGATCAATGAATTAGTGATCCAGTACCTTCATCAATGACCGGTCAGATTTTTAAAATATTAGTTTCAAGGAAATAAATCTTGATCCAGTACTTTTATCGGTTTGATGATCGGGTACTTTTATCGGTTTGATGATCGGTCTGATTTTCAAAATATTAGTTTCAAGTAAACAAATCTTCATAACCTTAATACTAATGTTTCTTTTTAAAAGAAAATACAAATAGATGTTGCTGCCGAGAGTTGTACCCTAGATCAACATCTTGCACCCCTTTTAACCCAATAATACTTATATTTATACTCGATAATCCTTGGACAAATACCCAAGGTTATATAAGTATTTTATACTGTCATTGTGGTACTTTAATTTCTAATCTATTTATATAAGTATAAATTGCCAAACCTACTGGCAGAATGATTATAAGCTTGTATGATCTATCTATTATACATAAAGCGAAAAAGAAATTAGGTCTTGTGAAACATATTGGCGGAATGAGTATAAGTTTGTATTATCTATTTATTACATATAAAAGAAAAATAAATTAGGTCGCTTAAAAAGAACCTACGATTCAACCTACATCAGATTTTGGTTATTTAAACAAACAAGGTCACAACTTTTAACTATTTTAAAGGCAAAAACAAAAGCAAAGTTCGGAAGCTCACCAGTCATTTTTGATACAACTCTCGAAACTCTTTCTTGACAACCATTACACCCCATATTTGCGGCTATCACCACAACTTGAAACTGTTTACCAAAAAAAAAACATTACAAAATAAATTAAAGCATTGAACTTAACATAACTACAATTATCTAACTTGAGATATATCCCAATAAACTCATAATCGTAAGAATTACAACAATTGTTTGTTTGCATGATTCCTGAAAACCCTTAGTTTCACTAGCAAGCAAGAAAAGAAGGAGAGAAGAAAACACAGAAAAAATGTTTCATATTTTTGTATTAACAAATTATTCAGCACAGCAAATAATAAATAAAAAAAATAAAATAAAATGACAAGAGATTGAATTGAAGATAAAATACAAAGTATTAGTAAACTTACCGTTGGGAGTGTCAAGTTTTCCAAGTATAAAAGAGAATGGTTATGATTTTCAATTCTAGAGGCCATAACGTAACCCATATCATATGGTTTTCTCCAAGTTCTGTTTCTCTCATCTCGTTTTAAAACTGTATTAGGAGTTGATCTAGTTTGATTAAGTCAAATGTGGATAATAATTTTCCTCAAATTGATCTAGTTTGAATTATTCATCTAACTTGCTATGTAAACGTTGTTGGCATTACAAACACATTTCTCCTCAAAATAAAATAATACTAATAACATACTATATGCCAAGGATCTAAATAAATAAAATTCAAACATAAGAGATTGGCCTCCCTACAAGTTTAGCACGTTTCAGCAACTACTAAATTCAAGTAGCAGACTTTTAGGTTTGTTTTTGATTTGGTCTCCTAATGAATAACTACGAATTATCTAATAGTTACTCTTAAAATAATGCCTTTTATCATTTGAAGTTATAGGGACAGCTAATGGAAGTCTTAAAATACAAGTTATATGTGAGATACCATATATATGGTATATTATGAATTATCTAAATATTAAATACCATGTATCTGACCTCTAAAGGTTTTGGTTTAAAATATGATGTCTCCATCTCTTTTGGTTTTGGTCATAAAATATTTGTTAGTTAAGCTTTATTTGGTAAGATACTTTTTAAATTTATAACTTATATATTCATATGATAATTTATATCTGTTTAGTTAATATTTTTATTATTACGAGTTTATAATTTATTTTGTCAAATTATAATTTATTTTTTAAACGTTAATTTTAAATAGTATTTTAGTTTATAATTTATAGTTTATTATTTTTTATTCTTAATATTTTAACAAAATTTATTTTTATCTTTTATAATTTATTTTAATTAAAATGAAATTATTATTATTAAATATATTTTATGTCATTTTATATATATAAGTTAGTTGAACTGTTAATTTTATTAAATATTTCAGTTAAGTTATCCGCTACCAATCTCAACCAATAATTATAAATTATAAACTATCAATCATCAGTTATCAATCATAAATTATAAACTATCAATTAATTTATTAGTTAACTGTTATTTTTAACAAACAAATATTTATTCTTTACCAGCGACATCAATCTTCGGTTCGATTTGACGGGATAGCAAAGTGAAATTTTGATATTTGGATCAAATAGATATGAGAGACTACCACTTTAGAGAGATATTATTATGTAAAATTTTTTATTCATTTATTCAATTTACTGAGACCAAATTTCTTAAAAAGTAAAATGATAACAATTTTAATTTAATTGCCTTTACTATTGTTATTATTTTTTATTTATTTTATAAAAATAATTTAAAAATATCTATAAAAATTTGATCTAGTCTTTTAATTTGATTCATTGTTATATTTATTATTGTTTTAATTTAATCATAAAATCTGTTTTGGGTCAGACAAATCTCTTTTCAGTCCGGCCACCATAAGACGAAACATTTCAAATTCAAATCATATTCGCTAAGCTTCTAGGATATTTTCTTGACCATTGAACCATCCGAAATCAAGAAGCAGGAGATTCATACCTCCAACACATCTAATGGTTCTACGCATTCTGCGCGTGAAAGATAACAAGTAAGTTATTCCTCTTCCATTTGAGGTAACAAATTCCAAACACAACTTGAACACTCTCTCATTATTCATATATTGACTTGAGCATTTGAATGCTAATTTTGTAGGTACACCTCTAGCTCCGTCGCGCCAGAAGCTCTCCTTCGACGCAACTTTCACAACTCTTCCATATATATATATATATATATATATATATATATATATATATATATATATATATATATATATATATATATATATATATATATATATATATATATATATATATATATATATATATATATATATATATATATATATATATATATATATATATATATATATATATATATATATATATATAATGTCTCCATTTGAGGTAACAAATTTCAAACACAACTTGAACACTCTCATTATTCATATATTGACTTGAGCATTTGAGTGCTAACTTTGTAGGTACACCTCCAGCTCCTTCGCGTCAGAAGCTCTCCTTCGATGCAACTTTCACAACTCTTCATATTTCTGGTTTCGAAACGGAACAGTGGCGCCACCTGTGGGAAACGACTTCTGATTCCTGCATATCCATAAAGAACAACTTGTTATCAACTTGAAGAAAGTTTCATACCAAAAGCAAGTGAGCATAGACGGTAACCTCTCTAAAGATGTTCAAGAAGACAAATCTAGATCCAGTTCCTCACGTATCATCGTCGATCAACACATTTTGAAATGTCGCCGCATCCAACACTTTGTCACCTTTTGATTGCTTCTAAATGAATATGGGTATGAAGTTCTAGCAAATCAATCGATCAAGGTTAGGGTTCTTGGATTTGGAAAAGTTCGACAAAATCTCGAACTCCGATCTACTGTTGGTTATCATGGTCGTTATCGCTGACCTAACCATAACATGACTCCTAGTAGATGACAAAAGCTCTTGTAATATCCTTTATAAAGACACATTGGAATCATTAGGTCTCAGTTAGAAGGATCTGAGTCCATCCGAGGGAGAAGATATGCTAGCCTTCAATAATTCAATCACTCATCCTTGTGGAGCAATAGATCTGACACTATCAGTCAAAGAAGAGGTGATGCAGAGAATGATTACTCTATTGTTCCTCGTGATATAATGTAAAATAGCCTTCAAAGGCATTCTAGGGAGGTCCTTCATAGCAAAGCTAGGGTTTTCTTCTATAGTCCATCTAAATATAGCCTATCACGACAAAAGAGAAGCACCACTCACTATAAACGCTAATTTACAAGAAACAAAGAGAATCAGGAGATGAATCCACGAAGATATTCTGATCTCGGCGTCGAAGAATTTTGACAAGCTCGATCTCAACGCACGCGAGGGCAAAGTCATACCTACCCCAGACAGAGAATTCAAATTCGTGCAACTAGGAGCCAACTCGGCTAGGTATGTCGAGATTTGGTCTAGAATTTCCCCCAAGGTAAGGTCCGTGCTAGTCGAATGTCTCAAAATAAACACTGACCTCTTTGCTATTTCTCTGCACTAAATGCCCGACATTGATCCATAAGTGGCTTGTCATCATTTGAATATGTATGTCAGAGCGAGGTACGTATCCTAGCGATAGAGAAAACAATCTCCTAAAGGTTGAGGCCACTAAGAAAATAGTGAGAGGTATATTAGTCGTCAAGTTTATTTTCAGAAGTAAATTATATCGAATTTCCATCTAACGTAGTTCTAGTTAAAAAGGCCTTGTGAAATTGGAGAATGAGCATGAATTATACATACCTTAATTGTTTGCGTCCGAAATATTTATATCCACTCCAGAACATCGACCAACTTGTAGATGATTCAGCGGGCTACCAACTGCTATCTTTCATGGGCGTATATTATGGATACAATCAGATACTGATGTTTGACCCGTTCGGGTAAAAAATGCGTGCATGACCGAACAAGCCAACTATTAGTTTAATGTCATGTCATTCAGACTAAAGAACGTCACATACTAGAGAATGATAAATAAAATCTTTCAGAAAGAAATAGGGAAAATATTGGAAGTATACATGGATTATATGATCGTGAAAACTGACATAGACACCCTCCATTCTCAACATCTCAATTGGGTGTTTAAAAGGGTCCGACAATAAAACATGAGACTTAACCCCGAGAAATGATACTTTGCCATAAGGGACGAAAAATTATTAGGTTTCTAATTGACATGACGAGGGATTGAAGCCAATCCAGACAAATGTGAAGAAGTTATCCAAATGAAGGCCCCAACATCTAAGAAGGATATCAAAAAACTGAACATGATATTGACTGCCCTAAATAGGTTCATTTTGAAATTATCCCAACAAACACTACCTTTTTACAAGTTGTTGAGGAAATAAGAAGAGTTTGATTGGAACACTGTATGTATCAATGTGTTCAAGTCCTTGAAAAAGATTATAGCTACCCCGTTAGTATTCACCCAACCATCACTGGGAGTGAAATTCTGGTGTATGCCAGAATTCAGATGTCATACTCAATGTCTAGACATCTGATATGACATAATACATACACTGCAAGGTAGATACCCAATTTTTCGTGATTCAGTACTGAAGAGAAACAGAAGCACAGTTTAACCAAGTTGTGCCAGATATACTTTGAGGGTGCAGAGGATAGAACAACGATGTACCTAGTTCTGTTCATCTATTGCACATGATCAGCAGAGAGCGAACAACCTTCACAGTTATGTTTCTTCTGCACAGATATCAGCATGATGTCTTAACATGTTCTGAGACATCATCTGTTACAACATTACAGTTTTGCCTTGATATATAACAGACAGAATTATAAAGTGTTGAAGGTAAAAACACAAATCAGTTGTTGACCCAGTTCAGTGAAACACACCTACTCTGGGGGCATACCAAGCCAGGAAGAAGATCCACTATCAGCAATATTAATTCAGGACTAAACTTCACAAGTTCCCATCCTTCACTTAATCATCTACCCAGTGCAACCTATACCTATGAACTCCTAGATAGAAACCTACCAGTTTCCATTCCTATTGCCGCAGCAACAGAAGTCTTACTCCTACTCAAGAAGTAGTGCCCTCCCACTTGGTTTCCTACATTACAATGAATATGAAGTAATGCAGAAATACTTAGACTTGCTTCATAGCTTCGTCCAAGAACACTCAAACTCTTACCTACAGGTATCGAGTTACACACATGGTAACCTTGCCACAGACCGACAGGTTTACCTAACAAAACACCCCCAATGTTACATTATGTGAGGCTTACAAACCCTAGGTTACAATCTGCTATTTATAACCTATTACCCAACTGGATTTGGGCCTTCAAAAATCTCAGCAAGCTTTTCTCCTTGCTGTTACAACTCAGCAGCAAACTTCTGCTATAATCAAGGTCTTCAATCTTCTAGTTCCTAAAATATCTCCATATTTAGAAACAGTATTTTCTTCAAATATTCTGATTGATTCTTGATTGATCTTCAGATTCTCCATAAGAAACGCCACA